AATAAATAAATAAAAGGTTGGATGATACCAGGTAAAGAGAACCAAGACAACTAACTAAACAAGCTTACTCGATAGGGGTGTCTTTCATCTTGGAAATAAGTGAGCAGGTGTAAGACACAACGAAGAATACAGGTTCTTTCTTCATAGTAATAATCTGCAATCTGAGAAAAATCCAAAGATTCAAAATCAGTTACTCACCTTTGTACAGAAGAGACTCAATTTTAAATTTACTGATAATCAGATCATGTAAAGATGTGAATGAAAAAATTCAATTTATATAAATAAGCAACAAAGAAACACAAACATATTCAATTTGCCCAAAAGAAAGCAAAAGACCTTCATAAATCGGGATATAAGTTAAGTCATATGGGACGAATAAAATTATTACTTAATAATATAAACAAGTTTCAAAAAATGTTTTCTAGCACAATTTTTCAGAACATTCAAGTAAAACACAGTGCTATAAACTGACAGGCCAAACACACAAAAACAAATAAAAAACACCACTGATACAGGTCCTAACTGCTTATAACTAATGTACTTCATTCTCACTAAATATCACGTAGGAAACTTCTGCAGAAGTCACAGTCAAATTCCATTTTAAAATGAGATCCTAAGTGAGAAGGTTGCTGGAGGAGGGCTGGGGAATAGAGAAATAAAGAAATACAAATTAATCCTATTGGATTTAGAGCTAGAGAAAAAATAGTTCTCAGTACCAGTAGCTGAAGAATCTCCTGGGGAAAAACTTCTCAGCTGGGTCCAGTGGATAACAGCATCTTGTTTCACAAGTGAGTTAATAAGCTTCTTCATTAAGACCTCAATGCTTACCCAACAAAAGAGTTTTAGCAATGCTCAGGAAAACAAGGTCAAGAAGCTGTCACTCAATTTTACATCAAAGAATAGAAATGGTGACTACTACTGACCTTCAGGATTAAGGCCTGGCTCTGTCTCTCATCTTGCAGTACCGTCTAAAGAAAAACAGAGTAGTCAAAAAGCCATCTTATAGGCAAAACTCAATTAACAAAGAAAAAGATACACATCTTCACTTCTTCCTTCAAGATTATAATTGCACATTTGTTTCTGTAAATGTTTTTCACCTTTTTTACCTAAGTATACCCAAACTTGTGCTCAAATCCCTGTCCCTGTCCTTTGGCCTCAGTTTCTTCATATGTAAAATGAGGGGCTGGACAGGCTGGACATTCTCTCAAATCCTTTTCACCTTTGATATCCTAAGATTCCATGATTAACATGTCAATCTTTGACTTCTCCACCCCTCCAAGTATGAGGACAGATCTTAGCTTAAGTATATGTTCTTTTTTTTTTTTTTTTGAGACAGAGTCTCACTCTTTTGCCCGGGCTAGAGTGAGTGCCGTGGCGTCAGCCTAGCTCACAGCAACCTCAAACTCCTGGGCTCGAGCAATCCTTCTGCCTCAGCCTCCCGAGTAGCTGGGACTACAGGCATGCGCCACCATGCCCAGCAAATTTTTTTTTTCTATATATTTTTAGTTGTCCGATTAATTTCTTTCTATTTTTAGTAGAGACGGGTTCTCACTCTTGCTCAGGCTGGTCTCGAACTCCGGAGCTCAAGCAATCCGCCCGCCTCGGCCTCCCAGAGAGCTAGGATTACAGGCGTGAGCCACCACGCCCGGCCCTTAAGTATATGTTCTTTCTCAAGCCTTTAGAAAGTCTTTCCTGAGAATGGCTGTATCTGATCACCTACCTCTGTCAAAAGAATTGGTGCCAAACCCTAAATTATCTAAAACCAACAAGGAAAAGGATAAAGGCAGCAGAAAGGAGCTGGACATAACCACAAACCTTCAGTGAGTCCCGAGTACCCCTGTAATCCTCCTGAAGGTAACACTGGAGTAACTGCACACTCTGCTCTTCATCAAGACCCTGAAATACAGAGGTCTTAAAGTGAAGAGCAGCCACCTCAGCTCAGACACCACACACAGGATGCAAAGCATTCTAAAGATTTGTGCACTGGAATGAACACTGGATTTGAATAAAAAAAAAAATCCTTTTCAAAGATTTCATACAACATAGCAATTTTGATCCCAACAGGAGAAAAAAGAACCACTGACATGCAATTTGCATGACAATTAAATTTACATGCCAGAAACAACTGCGTTTATTTATCAAGCATATTAACACAGCAGTAGGCACAATCTGAGCTTCCAAAATTAAAAGGAAACAGCTATATACAAACTTGGTCAGCTTAAAGACCACTGTATGCATGCTGAAATAAACTCGATGATATGTAGTAAATGGGTCAGGCAACTTTGATTTATGACTTTTAGGGAAAAGAATTGCATTTGGGTATTTCTGAAACACAGCATGTTCAATTTAATCCCCAAAACTAAAATAAAGTGAATTTTCCCCATCGCCAACCATAAAACATGCACATCCACACTATAAGTAATAAACTGAGCCAGTCCTAATTTTTACTCACCAAAAACTTGCTGATTCTTAAACCCAGTTCCTTCAGTGGAGAAGCTACATCTTTATTAGCTTTCACTTTTTCAGCTGAACTTGGGCTGTGAAAAGAACAGTGAATCATTTCCTCATTCTCAATAACCCTCTATAGGTATAAAATAAAAATATCCAAAGATATTTTTACTACAGACTTTTTTTCTTACCCTTTAGGTGCCTACAAAATACACACAAACACACACACACACACACACACACACACACACACACACGCAAGTTCACCTCTACAGACTTTGTAACAAAACTATTTATGCCTAAGAAATAAAAAATAGGATATATCTGTTATAAACCATAGTTACAACAATATTAGTTAAACTTCATTAGGGTACATTAATTATATTTGATCCTTACAACTACTCTGAAAGGTAAATATTACTATTATCATTTTACAAATGGAATTATCAACACTTAGAAAGAGTAAATAACTTACCAAAAATCCCACAGCTAATAAAAGGTGAGGTAAAATTTAAAACTAGGTCTGTTAATGTACATACTAACTATATTATCTAGCTGTCCACTGAGAAAGCCTATAAGTTACAACACCCCAGTAGCAGCAAGTACAGCCAGCACCCAGATCTTGGTTTCTAACACCATTCTCTAATAAAAAGTACCAGGACTCCTTGGAGGATTGGCTGATTCGGGGCAGAGAAAATACAAGATAAGCCTGAAGCATCTTGTAATGCTGGAAAGTAAGGAAGTGCTTAAAAAACAAGAGGATGGGGACATGTCAAAAGGACACAGAAGCCAACCTGAAAGAAATCCCAATGGCCAAAGCTGGAACATAGTATACACAAAGTATAAAATAAATATACACAAGTCCATACTGATATAAATGAATGAATGACTAAATAAATAAATGGGAGAGGAGGGAGAAATCTTCCTTACAAAAGAATTCCAAATAATATACGTAGATGCTACCCTGACCTTCAGAAAGTGGAGTTTAACTCCACTACCACCCCACATTGAGAGTGAGCTATACTTAGTACTCACTTCCACAGAACAGATTGAGGAAAGGGAAAAAAAGAACTTTACAAAGGAGAAACTTGGCAAAAGCTACCTTAACAAGTGACCAAGGTTAATATTACCAGTGATTTCAAATGGATAACATGTACCTTCATATGATTTCATAAGAATGGTACCTCACCTCTGTGTATCCTTCCCAAAACCCCACGACCCCAGTCTAATAATGAGAAAAACATCAGACGAATCCAAATTAAGGGCATTCTACAAAATACTTGATCAGTCCTCCTCAAAATGCTCATCATGCAAATCAAGGAAAGACTGAGACACATAGGTAAAGGAGACCACAGAGATATGACAACTAAATGCAACATGGTACTCTGGATTGGATCCTGGAATAGAAAGAGGAAATTAAAGAAAAACTGGTTAAATTCCATAAAGTATAGAGTTTAGTTTTATTTTTCAAAAAAGCATCTGTCAGACTTCCAATCCCATGCTACTACAAAGGGAATTTTTCCCTTTAACTGGCACAAATGTCCATTCTGTGACCTACCGCATGATGTTGTGGTTGGATTTTTTTTTTAACAGAGACTCTCACATTTCACAGAAAATCCACAACATAAAGGTTACTTCCAAGGGTGGGGAACCTGCATCCTTAAGGCCACACATGGCCTTCCAGGTCCCAAGAAAGCCTTAAGGCTGTAGGTTCCCCAACCCTGAGAGGGTAAACAGTAAGTTACGAAAGAGGCAACACAGAATGATGATTAAGAATACATACAGTGGAGTAAGACTGCCAGGTTTGAATCCTGGTTCTACCACTTACTAGCTGTGTGACCTTGGGCAAGTTACTTAACCTCTTTGTGCCTCAGTTTCCCCATCTGTAAAACGGAAATGATAATAGAAGTACCAAAATGTGATAATACAGTGATTATCTTCTTTTTTAAAGTCCATATATTTTAGATACATAGTGAAGTATTTACAGATAAAATAACAAGATGTCTGGGAGTTACTTCAAAATAATTATGGGGGGAGGGAGAACTAGAACAAAAAGTTCATCATTAACCTAAGAGAATGGAGATGGCAGGGAAGAAAGTAATAGATTTAACAGATGTACTGAAGTAGGAGAAAGAAGGGTGACTTGGGACTATGATATATAACAGAATGAGATCTGGACTAGGAATTAAGATATATAAGTCTAGCCCTACAAGCTGTATTCTCTTCTTTTTTAATGACTTTATATTTTATTATTGTTGTTTCTATTGCCCAGTAAGAAAACCTACATACTCACCCAAAAAATAAAAGTAGTAGGTATCTCAAAGGGCTGTTGTGAGGCATAAATAACTTCTGATAAGTCAAGTGCTTAAAATAATAATTGGTACACAGCAAACACTACACAAGTGTCAGCTGTTATTATCGCCATTCACTGCTATATCCCAGTATTTAGTGATCACACAAACACAGTGGACCCCAAACATTAGAAATATTCATCAAATATTTAATAAATCCTCATCCCCACACATAGGCCTATATAATCGCATTCTGCAATACTGTATTTCTACAAGGGATTTCCCTTTCTTTCAAAAAATAGAAAAAAAGTACCCTTCTCTTTTATACTGGTAATCAAATTGTATTCTCAGATCTATCTAACCCAGCAATATCATAAAAGCATACATGAGAAAGGTTTCATCTACACCAGCTTCCACAGGGGAATCACTCTAGACAGACGTGTGGAATAGCCATACCTGGGAGGTTTGTAGTAAGAAAGCCCCTCTAACAATCGCTGCCAATGTTTACTCAGTTCTGCCTCAATCTGATTCTGGAAAAGAACAAGGGCAATTATATAAGTGAAATTTTAATCAGACTCTAAGATTACACTGAGGATCACATATTCCTTTGAGTATTTTTAATATGCACTTTTCCCCACAGTTGAAGTCATTTTGAATATAGAATCCCGTAACCTCCTTTTCTTTGCTTAACCTTATTATGAAAATCTTGATAAACATGGCCGGGCGCGGTGGCTCACGCCTATAATCATAGCACTCTGGGAGGCCGAGATGGGCGGATCGTTTGAGCTCAGGAGTTCAAGACCAGCCTGAGCAAAAACGAGATCCCATCTCTATTAAAAAAAAAAAAAGGAAAAAAAAAAAAGAAATTAGCTGGACAACTAAAAATATATTTGTAAATAATAAATACATATATATAAAAAAAAATTAGCCGGCATGGTGGTGCATGCCTGTAGTCCCAGCTACTTGGGAGGCTGAGGCAGGAGGATCACTTGAGCCCAGGAGTTTGAGGTTGCTGTGAGCTAGGATGACGCCAAGGCACTCTAGCCGGGCCAAAAGAGCGACACTCTGTCTCGGAAAAAAAAAAAAAAATCTTGATGAACATATAATACTTTCTAGTGGTTGCATAGTATTTTATCAAGTGACTAGATCATAATTTATCATTCCTTTAATGTTAGATACACTAAAGCTGAACTTAATCTTTTAATAATATAAATAATGCTGTGGTGAAGAGCTTTGTGTATAAAACTTTTTCAGGATTTCTCTTAAGATACATTCCTACAGGTGGAATTATCAGATAAGGCGTATCAAAAAATATTAAGGCTCTAAAAAGTGTAACATTCATTATGTTAATTATGATCACAAAATTAATAAGAAGTGAATGTCATCTTAACACTTTCTCCTCAGAGTCAGAACACCCAAGGATCAACATGAAGAATTGTGCCTTATTGATTATACACTTGGAAGTAGACTAGAAACCACAGCCTCTATGACCTAAATGAGGTAGCTATTTCAGTTTCCTTTTTTTTTTGGTTGACACAGTCTCACTCTGTTGCCCTTGACAGAGTGCAGTGGCATCATCATACCTCACTGCAACCTCAAATTCCTGGGCTCAAGGCCCAGGAGCCCTCCTGCCTCAGCCTCCCGAGTAGCTGGTACTACAGACGTGCACCACCACACCCAGCTAATTTTTCTTTTTTAGTAGAGACAGGGTCTCACTCTTGCTCAGGTTGGTCTTGAACTCCTGAGCTCAAGCAATCCTCCTGCCTCGGCCTCCCAGAGTGCTAGGATTACAGGCATGAGCCACGGAGCCCGGCCTAAAGGAGGCAGCTAAATGGAAAAGGAAGAAAAGGCAAGTAATGTATGAGAGAAAAAGCCGGAGACTCTTTCTTAGGCTGAGGTAGCTGAATGGTATTTGTACTCCTATTCTCGGCACCCAATTAATCAGCACTAGTATCTTTTCAGAAAAGGAATCAATGAGGTACAAAGAAAGGTAGATTTTGAAAATTTCAGCAGCTAGTCTATAACATACATTCTCATTTCAGCAGAGAGAAGTAGGGAATGTTTATAAAGTTTAGGAATTAAAAATGTATTTACTTCCTATGTCAAAGAGGAGGAAGGTTTTCTGCTAACAAAAGCTACACAAAGAACCCACAGAACTCACTCAAGAACACCAATACTTACCAACTCTCTCAGAGCTGACCTTCCAAGAAGAATTGTCCACAGTTCTCTACTGCTCCTGCAAAATGAGAGAACAGAGGTAATTTTGCTCTTTTAAATTACATGAACTTGACAAAGCTGCCTCATAGCTATTTTATCTCCTCTCTAAAAGCAAAAAAACTCAACATACAAAAAAGCTCATTGTAAAACTCAAAATTTTAACAATTAATTAAAATTTGGGAAAGTAATCCTGTTACAGTGTTCTTAGAAGTTTGATGTTTAAAATAAAAATTAAGAAACTAAAATATGGCCAGGCGCAGTGGCTCACACCTGTAATCCTAGCACTTTGGGAGGCCCCGGTGGGATAATCACTTGAGGTCAAAGTTCAAGATCAGCCTGAGCAACAGCAAGACCCCATCTCTACCAAAAATAGAAAAAATTATTTCTGAGAAAGAAACTCAAAAGGAAAAAAAAGAGAAAAAATTAGCCAGCATGGTGCACCCACCTGTAGCCCCAACTACTCAGGAAGCTGAGGCAGAAGGCTCACTTGAGCCCAGGAGTCTGAGGTTGCAGTAAGCCATGATGATGCCACTGTATTCTAGCCAGGGCAACAGAGTCAGACTTTGTCTCAAAAAAAAGACCAAAATATGAGATGTTAACCTAAACCAAACAGGTAGTGTGTTAAAAAAAGAAATGAAGATAGTCACCATATTTCAACACATTTAAGATGCCATTAATTGCAAGACATATTATGTCCTACTAAGAAAATAATGTTACCAATAAACTATAAGTCATCAATAATAAAACACATCTCAATTAAAGAAGTATAAAAGTATGACAAAATATAGTAATCAATGAACTATATCTTATATGACAAGAAGATGGCTCAATTTAAAATTTCTATCTCTTCCCTTCTCATTACCAAGAAGGAAAAAGAACCTACAAAAGGACTATGTATATTTCACAGCCCCTGTCACCTCCAGAAAATTTTATGCATGGTATAATTCACTTTCTCATCAAAGTCTAACAGTCATTATAAATGGTACTATGTTCACTCATTTATTAATGAATTCCGACTAGGTGCCACATAAAGAACTAGATACAAGATAAACAAACAAATATTAGATATAGTCCCTGAATCCAGTGAGTCTTCAAATATACTCCCAATATGTGCTTACCCCAGTTCCTTCCCCCATCCATGTCTTTGGAATTTCACAAAACATGTTGGGTTTTTTAAAGTCTAGAATTAAATCTCAAAATGTAACCATTAAGAAATTCTCTCAAGAAAGTTATTAAAAAGATAGGGATTATATTTTGTGAGATCCTAAATCTCCACCTGAAATAATTAACTGCTTAGAAAGCCTATATGCAAAGAAAGGATGAAAAGGTCCTAACAAAATATCCTATAACTAAACATCTAACAAAGAGAATGTAAGCTGTGTTAACTACGAAGAAAAAGTGAAATATGTTTTCCCCGTTAAGACTAACAGAAAGCACTAGCTTTATTTAAAAATTGTCTTTCAGGATTTTTCCATCAAAAAGGTTTAAATACACTTAAAAATTATAAATCTCTTTCCAAATGGTTAATGCTTTTAAGAAAACAATTTCAAGTCTGTTCAATCGATAGCTACCAACTCCCACAAAACACACTGGAATCACTAATCATTTTTCTGATAACAAGATAGCATTCACTGTTCAAAAATAATTAGGAGATTACAGCCAGTTAATAAAGCAAATGTGTCCCTTTATACTAATAATGCATGAGTAAAAAGGTATGAGTAAACCAAGCCCTAAGTAATTAAAAACATAGAGGCAAATTCACTATTTAAAGAAATTTACAGCAAAATTTTAAAGTAAGCATGCCGTTTATAAAGGTAGTAATCACCCGCTAAATTGTTTGATAAATCAGAATTAGCAAAAAATAAAAGGAAGACTTTATTTAAAATGGCATATATTTTTACTTTACTAAGTGTAGCTTCTGGTTTG